GGAGGGCAAAGATAGATCCCCCCAGCCAAAGTCCAGGCTCAAGTAGCCATCAAGACAAATTACCTGAAAGCGATTTCGGTCATATCGGGGCATACTGTAGCGACGTTGAATGAAAACTTTACCGCACTTAAGTGTCGCATTATGGTTCCCGCAAGGGAAGACACTTACCTCCCACCCACCCCCAGCTACCCCACCCCCGCTCAACCCCTACCACGCAATGGAGTTCAAAGCTAATCCCTTTCCGGGCCTTCCTTCGCTGACTGGCTGGCTGGCTGCCTGGCTGGATTAGTTTTGAATTGCTGCTCCCCAGATTAGAGGCAATTGTCTGTGAGTTGGGGGTAGGCGGCTTGGGGGTTGGCCATCCCACTACTTATGGGTCATATCCTTATCCATGGCTGGTTAAGTTTGCAACTGATTTGATTTCATCTCGGCCAATTGTCCACGCCTGCAGCTAAACGTTCTGCCACAAAGAGAGCGGCAACAAAAAAGGACCAAACCACACCCACACCCACTGCCACTCCCACTGCCACTCCCACTGCCACTCCCTCTCATTCTCCAACGCTCCATGGAGTACATATATATGTATATGTATATATCCAAATATATATATATATATATATATATATATATCCAAATCGGTTGTGATGTGTCTAAATGTATATATAGAAAATATTTCACAGGCAATTTCCCATCCTCACACACTCCTTTCTTCGTTCTCGTCGTTGTCGTTGTTTATCTTGGTTCTTGACTCCCGTCTTCGCCTCCGTTCTGGTCTCCGTCTTAGTCCTGCTGCCATCCTGCTGCTCCTGGGCAGGCACGGGCATCCACTATTGTGCATATACAAACTGTAATAAAAAATTCAGTCCACGTCTCAAGCACTTATTGATACGTGAGCATAGATGACACACACACACACACACACACACACACACTCGCACAGACACGGTCATAAGTAGCGCATATATATGCATAGGGTCTGTACACTGGGACGGGACGGGGTGGTGCCAAAAGCGGCAATCCTGTGGGCAAGGGCAACATACGGCAGCAGGCTTGGCCCAAAACACAATTACTGACCATGAAAAAAAGGACATCAGGGGGTGGAAAAAAACAAGAACAAAAAACTCCATCAAAAATTTCCCCAAGAGCCTTTAAATTAACAAAAATTTGGACAAATCTTGTAATATGAAATTTTCCATTCATTGGACAATTTTTATGTTTAGTAGCTGGTTTTTATTTCCAAATTAAAGCTAGTAAATTTTTAATGTCTTAAAAATGGAATTTGCAATAAAAAAAATGTATATGCTTTAAATGAAAATTCATAAAGAAAGATTAAAAGCTTTAGAGAACTCTGGCATGATACTATAAATGGTATAATGAATTAAACAAATGCTCCATGCTTTTTTATTTTAAAATTCAAAGCATCAGTTTTGAATATCAGCGCTTTTGATGCCAAATGAAAAATTATAAAGATGTGCGCAATGCAATTTTTGAATTTAAAAAAAAAGCTTTGGCGTAACTACTCAATCAGGCTTATTTTATATTGCTTTGCTTCAAAGTTCAATTACACTGTCCCTCAGTGAAATATTTAATAATAAAAACGCTTGAAGTACACATCTTTGAAAACAGCAACAGACGTAAATCAGACCCTATTCAATCTTAAAGTATTTCCATTCGAAATAAATGCTAAACCGAATTTGTGTGTCAGCAGCATGATGATATGATGCGCATATTTCTGTGACACAACAAAACGTTTTAATTAATTAAATTAACAAATAATCGTGCGGTCAAGCTCACATACTTGCACATAACATACCAAAAATGTGTCACCTTGGATAATTATTAAATTACTCATTACATTACACTTATCATTATTACTCTGCATGGGCACGGACTCTGCAGCGCAGGGGCATTGTGTACCAGGCATGTAACCTCGCGAAAATATTAATTAATGCATAAACAGGTAGTCTTTAAATCAAACAAAAAATGGGTAAATGAAATAACCTTCTTCAAGTTCATCAAAAAATAAAATTAATTGAATTTAACTGAGAATTCTTATGATAATATCTGAACAAATTTCTGCAAATTTTGACTGTAAGAATTTATGCGGAAATCTTTGTAAATATTCAGTGCGTTGTGTGAGTATGCGAATGTTTATTTTTTAAATGAAAAATGTAGCTTCCAATGCATAACCAAGAAAATGATAGCGAGACACTGGCAAGGCGTTTGCAATTAGTCTACCAATAGGTGGATCCCATTATCATCTCCATTACTACCATCTCCATGTGCACTTTGCAGAAAAATACAACTTGCTTGTCGAAATGAAGTACGTGACATGTTAAATTATTTCTTCTGCAATAACCAAGAAGCTACGAGTATATGCCTTTTTTTTAGCTGTGTGCCCAGCCACAGCACAGCACCAAGATAATTATATTCTGCAATATTTGTGCAGTAAGGATCGCAGCTAAATCTGCACAACTCTTATTTTAGAAACTTTAACTTTATTTAGTGGATTTTTCTAGTTTTATTTATACACTAAATAGTTGAAGCAGTGACTTAACTTTTTCAATTTAAATATTCGAATATCAATTGCAAATTTTAGCGCCTAACAAAAGATTTACCCGAATTGTAGGGTATCCCCAGGCTTGTTAGAGCCAGCCGCAGCTGCATTATCACTTCTTCCATTGCGTTTGTGGCATTTTTGATATTATGAACAACAATGAATTGGCATTGGATTAATTAATTGGTAAATGGCAGTCAGAGACACGCACAACTGAAGGACTCCCACAAGGAGCATTGATTACTTTAATTTGATGTGTGTGTGTGTGTGTGTTTGTAACAATGTGCACTCTTGTGTATGTATATAAATGCATACAGTTATCTATATGTGTGTATGCACACTTATGTGTGTAAATAAACGCGAACAAATCAATTAACATTATTCATTCAAAGACAATTAATTCCCATAATTAAGTCTTATGCAATGCGCTCTTTGAAGTGCCAACTAAATGATGAATGCCCAACCACAATACTGATGAAAAGATGAAGAAAATGATTATCAACAGCAACGCTTACGGCACATAAGCACATTTTTTTTATTTATTTTTATTTCTTTGAATAGCAAGAGAAAGAAAAATCATCAGAATATCCTCATGGATAAAAATAATAATATAATATATTATAATATAATAAATAATATAATAAATCAATATTGAAATTATGTTAAGTATGTCAATTAATTTGGTAAAATTTGAGTATTAAATTTAGTATTAAATGCAGGATCTGAAAGGATCGTTTCAGATCCTGCATTTAATAATGCAAATAAACATAATGATCGTCACATCTTTACCATTATCACTCGTATATGGAATATTGACTACAGTCCCCTCAATGGTTACTCATAATGAAAATGATAAAGGGAAGCATTGGTTCCGCCTTCAAGCCTTCTTACTGCTCTCTGGCTGTTCCAGCTACATGATTTTCCCCCAAAAGCACCTTCCCCAAAGTCCAGAGTCGCTTAAACGATATTTTCCTATTATGTCGCCACTGCACCTCCGCCCCTACGCTCTCCCACTCTCTCTCTCTCTTTCTCTCTCTCTCTCTCTCTCTCTCTCTCTCTCTCTGGCACCGCCTAATGTGCACGGCACAAAGGAGCGAGCCAATCTCGGCATAAACAGGTGACACCAAGAGAGGGAGAGAGAGCGAGAGAGAGGGAGAGACAATAAACTGCAATGGCATATATCGTGGGGGGGGTGGGGTGTCGCAAGTCGTTGCAATGGTGCAGACCTGCCAGAGGGGGGAGCGGGGCGTGGCGAGGTGCACACAAAGAGTGGAACATTTTGTTAAGGCCACTTTGCGACATTTTAATTTAAATGCTAATCAGTTGCCAATAGAGAAAAAAAGAGCGAACCTATGTATCCCCACCTCGAGTGCACCCTCCTACCCCTCTGGCCCAGCACTTTCAAGTCATTTGAGGGGAGTGCAGGAGTGTGAGGGAGAGGGAGAGGCAAAGAGCGCTGCAATTTGTGTAAAATGTCGACCATTGTGTCCGACCGTCCGTCGCAGGCCTACGAGTATGTGGACAGCTCCACCTGGAGCTAACGGTATAGTTTATATACCCTTCACAAAAAGAGGTAAGACAACTGCAAGCTGACTTCTGCCTTACTGCAAAATTATTGCCACAAATGCCAAAGATAAACAAATCTAAAAATAGGTGGGGAATTCCGCGGACTATTTTTATTTATTTTATTTATTTATATTTAGATCTCTATGGAGATCTGCTAGGGTATTAAAAGCTTCGGCTGGCCGCTGCTTTGTTGTTTGTTTCTGTTTTGGGGCTGTTGTTGGCGCTGCCGTGTCATCATTATCATTTGCATTTGCATTTTCGGCAGGCAGGCAGGCAGGCAGTGGCTCAGCCAGCACAGCACAGCAGAGCGCCCTGTGCCCTTCTTTGCCACTGTTGTTTGGCAAATATTGGCATTTTATGCTGCGTCCACAGCGTGCGACGACGTCTATGGCCCAGCGATAACATCAGCAGAGGCACTGGGTATTGGCACTGGCACTGCCATGTGAGTGTCAAAGTGGCCAAATGGCTAATTCCCCCAAAGCATTTTCGGTGCCATAAAAACAAATTGGATATGTGCCCACAGAGAGTATGTACACATACTTAACCCAGGAGTTGAGAATTGCAATCAAAAATTTAGTTCAACAATAGAAATGCATGTAAAAATGCATTTACATGATTCAAATCTCCCGCCTCAAACGATAAGTATCGATAGAACTGTGCACGTCCTGAAGCTGACTGATGGCATACTCCTGGGACTGTCCATCTTTGACGTTATTTAGGGTATTTCCATAATCCACACCAGCCAACACTGGCGGGCTGCCACTATGCAACACTGATTGTTGATTGTATTTATTTATCGTTAATTTCGTTTTCGTTTACGTTGTTTACGTTTTTGTAATGGTTTTTACTTTGTTTTCTGTTTAAAATAAGCTTAAGTTAGTTAACGACTGCCCACCGCCATGGCCACACCGCGGCTCTGCGACTGTGATAGCCCCCAGCAGCGATTGCTGCAGTTCACCAACTGCCGCCTGGTGCGCGGCCACCAGTTGGTCCGCGACGACTTGTGGGTGCGCGATGGCAGGATCGTCAATCCGGAGCCCGTGTTCTTTGACGAGCAGACCAGAGCCCACAAGCGCATCGATTGCCAGGGTGCCATTATTGCGCCCGGCTACATTGACCTGCAGATTAATGGTAAACCAACACCACCCGTCCGCGTCCACCCTACTGACCCTAATATTCCCATTGTAAATATCACTTTCGCTGCGCTGATTCAATCGGTGCGTCAAGGTCGGTCGGTTGGGTCTGTTCATTTCTCCACTCCATTTACATTGAGGGGTTGCTGATTGGACAGATGGATGGCCGTCCGTCCACGTAATCAGCTCGTTAATCTTATCGCCCCGCTTTTGGCGGGTCCGTTGCCACAAGTGGTGCACCGCTGTCGCCGCAGCTCTGTGTGTGTGTGATAAGCTTTGCCATTGTTTTTGGGGTCGCTTAATGACCCTATTAATGCCTTCTCCTTGCTGAATCGCCCCACTGTACTCCCTGATCAGGTGGCTATGGTGTGGATTTCTCGCACGACAAGGACACCATTGAGGCGGGCATCACCAAGGTAGCCCAGGGACTGGTGCGGTGTGGCGTTACCTCCTTCTGCCCGACGCTGGTGACCTCACCGAACGCCAGCTACCATGCGATACTGCCGCGCATACCCAAAACTGTGCCAAACGGAGCCGGCATCCTGGGCATCCATGCCGAGGGGCCGTTCATAAATCCCCAGAAGAAGGGCGCCCATCCGGAGGACTGCATTCAGACAATCGACAAGGTAAGCGGTTAGGTCTCTGCCACTTGGAGTTCCTCTTTAATTCCTCGCCAGGGACTGGAGACACTGGAGACCGTTTATGGCTCGCTGGAGCGCCTCAAGATCATTACATTGGCGCCGGAGAAGGTCAGCGATCCGGAGGTCATTGGACAGCTGGTGGCCAGGGGCATAACCGTGTCCCTGGGCCATTCCGTGGCTACACTGAGCGACGGGGAGCGTGCCGTTCAGCAGGGCGCCACCATGATCACGCATCTGTTCAATGCCATGCTGCCGTTCCACCATCGCGATCCCGGCCTGGTGGGACTGCTCTCCTCGGATGCCGTGCCCCAGGGACGGACCGTCTACTTTGGCATCATTTCGGATGGTGTGCACACACATCCCGCTGCGCTAAGGATCGCCTATCGCACCCATCCCGAGGGACTCGTGCTGGTGACCGATGCCATTTCGGCCTTGGGCCTGGAAGATGGCATCCATCACATTGGTCAGCTGCCGCTGGAGGTTCGAAAGGGCAAAGCCTTTATCGCCGGCACCGAGACTCTCTGCGGCAGCATTGCGCCCATGGACGAGTGCGTGCGCATCTTCCACAAGGCCACAAGTAAGTAGCGGAGCATCATTGCCGCCCTACCTCTGAGCATCCACGCTAATCGTCTGTCTGCACTGCTCCCACAGATTGCTCCATTGTGTATGCCATTGAGGCGGCCACCTTGCATCCGGCGCGTTGCATCAAAATCGAACACCAGAAGGGCACCCTGGACTTTGACTCGGATGCCGATTTCATTCTGCTGGATGACGAGCTGCATGTACTCTCCACCTGGATAGCGGGCGCCCGTGTGCATCAGTGCGTCAAGTAGTACATAAATATATGTACGGATATGGCAACACGGTACTGGGATGTATTTATAATGCACGCATGATTCTCTGATTAAACTGTGAAATCTCTACATTCCAATGGAAGCGTTTAAGCTGTGATTTATGCCCTCGCAAATCCTTGCAGGTTGAAACTTTCTCGGCTATTTTCACAGGATAAAAGAAGAAACAGGGCACCTCAAATCAGCATTATATTAAATGTTTTTCAATTGTTAATTGTTAATAGTAATTATGCAGAGTAATTCCAACTGCAAGTTCGCGCTAACAAAAGAATTGATGCCGTCATAGGGCTGCCGCTTTATCATATGAAATTGCTCAAAACAATGCGGAAATGGAACAGCACTGGAAACGATTTGATTTGTGTGAGAAATTCTGCTAGTTAGAGTTTTGTATTCAGACATTTATTGGAGCTATGGAGACGCTGCCATGGGACGATAAAGCACACTTTAGATTGAATATTTTAGGTCTTTAAATTATGTTCTAATGAGGAAAATTCGAGACTAAAATTAGAGCTGTAGGATCAATTTCTAATTAAGTGCTGGTAGACAAAACTTGCATCATTTTGCAGCATTTATGCTTTAGCTTCCATTCGCTTTAATTCCAGATCCAAATGTCCCCTAGCCCCGCCCCCTGCTTGCATGCCAAAACCACTCATAAGTCTCCATCGGGCTTTCTTTGTTTGGATTGTTCATTATATATTTTTTAATCGGTAAATCATTTGGTGTGGACAACTACACTAAATCCATATACAATTACAAATAATAAGTATTACACAAAGGAAAAAAAAAGAAGATGGTTTACAATAAAATTACAAGGAAAAACGTACATCATCATTATCATCATCATCAATATTTAGGTTATAGGCTGGGCGCGATAAAAACGATATCCCCTCCTCATTACAGCCCCCTATACTATATTTATATACTATATATATATATGTATATATATGCATTGATCAGAAAACAATTGTGGAAACAGGCACAGCAAAACCTCTGGCATGATGAGTAGTTCCGAAACCCGAACGCCACCCCACCCCACCGCACCGCACGACTCCCCGCCACTCTGCGACAACTTACAAACAAAACAATAACGAAAACGAAACGTAAGCAAGAAAGATCAAGCTATATAAGTACTAGGATAGCATATACACGAGTATATATATTATACATACATATATCTAGGCTGCAAAAAACACGAATAGTACGTAGAAAAAACATTGCCAGAGGTGTGTGTGGAGCTGTGTGAAAATTGGAAGATGCAATTGAATGAATTAAATTGATGGCGGAGCAGTAAAGGTGCGCTGGTGTAGTTGTAGTTGTAGTAGTAGTAGGTAGTACTAGGAATCATGGTATATAGCATATCAAAAAGTTTTCCATTATAAAAAAAATTGCTTCGTTTTTTTGTTTGTTTTCTTTTTGCGTTTCTATGGAAAATGGTGTTTTCTTTTTTGCTTTTTCTTCTATGTTTAACTTCCTATTTCACGTATTGTAAAAAACATCTGTCCCACGTTAGCTAACTAGAAATTGCTCGAGTTGTCCGATTTCAGTGGGGGAAAACATGGACGCCTGCCTGGAGGGTGCCCCTGAGACAGACATGAAATGCAGTTCTGTTTTTTTTTCATTCTTCCTCTGCTTCTATCGCTTTCTTTTGTTTTTTTTATACTTTTTGTTGTTGGTTCTTGGTTCAAAATGTGTGTTTTGTTGTGCGTTAACTAACGTATCGGTATGGGTATCGGTATCTGAATCTTCCTTATAAAGGTTTTGTAAAGTTTCTTCCAAATGTTCGTTGTTACAAATTGTGTTTAAACTTTAGGTAGGTTGTTTCTGTTTCTGTTACTGTTTGCCGTTTGCGGTTTGCTGTTGCTTGTTCGCTTGTTGTGTTGTTCCTCCTGCATATTTTGTTGTAGTAAGTAATTTCTCTCCTCTCTCTCCATCTGGCCCCGCTCTGTGTTTTATTGCTTCATTTTGCGTGTGTGTGTGTGTGGAGCAGTTTCTAAAACCGATCCCCACCATAACTCATCTCGCATCGCACAGCTAAACACACGCCACGGCCACGGCAGAGAGAGCCCTGACCAACGGGCCTCAGGGCCACTGCTTTGCCCCGTTTTACGCACAGCATTTGCTGTAGCCCGGCGCCTTGTCATTATTCCGGCGATCGATGACGACACGCTCTGGATTCTCGGCCGCCTCCTTTCCAGCAGTCTTATCCAATATGGCCTCGGCAAGCTCGCAAAAAGCACGCTCAATGTTGATGTTCGACTTGGCGGATGTTTCCATGAAGCGTATGCCATGCTCACGGGCAATCTAAACGGGAGAGAGGAATCAGTAAGTTTAAATCTGCGAGTGGGCAGATGCTGTGCAACTACAGCCTACAGCACTAGTCTGTTGACCGCTGCTGTAGCCACAATGGTTGAGTTTTGCTTACCGCCTCGCCGCGCTCTTTGTTCACCACACGCTTGTCCGTCATATCGCATTTGTTGCCCAGTATCATCTTCTCGACATCCTCGTTTGCATGCTGCAGAGAGAGAGCGCCGCACAAGAGAGAGAGAGAGAGAGAGAAAGAAAGAGTGAGAGTGAATGATGATGATGAATCAATCAACGGAAAGGCGGGTGGCGGGGACTCTTGCACTCACCTCATCTATGTTCCGTAGCCATTTGACGATATTCTCGAAACTCTTTTCGTTCGTTATGTCATAGACGAGCATGATGCCCATCGCACCGCGATAATACGATGTGGTTATTGTGTGGAATCTCTCCTGGCCGGCCGTGTCCCATATTTGCAGTTTGATCTTTTTGCCCCTCAGTTCCACGGTTTTGATTTTGAAATCAATTCCTACAAATAATAAAATTGAATTGAATCATAAGCTGTGACGTCACAATACACAATTAGAATTCAGACTATCCAAAATCAAAAACAACAAAAAGTTGTCCTCTCTCATAAATTATGAATCACCAGAGCACACACACGCACACAGCCCAAGGGACGGACACGGACATGGAAGTGAGACAGATAGATAAATAAATGTTTGCACGTATCGTGTATCGGTTACGTGTATTAATCTAGTTTTATTGCCTAACTAGGGGCAGGGTTACCGTTACCCCCTCATCACCAGCACCAGCACAGAGCTATGCAAAGTTCGCCACAGGCCAAGTCCAAAGGCTGCAACGATCTCTACATGCACACATATTTATTAACATACATATGCATAACAAGAAACAGTAAAATGCATTCATACCAAGTAACATATACATATGTACATGTGTGTGTATGTACATAAGTCCAGGAAATGCCTTTGCAATAAAACATTCCCGTTTGTGATCCCACAGATAAGACAATGCCACGCCCAATTACACACACGCATATCCTTGACACCGTCGTCGTTGCCGCCTACCCACTGGCACAGCTGACACAACTTCGGCTTCTACACATGTGCATACACATGTACGTACATTTGCAAGTACATTTTTGTAGGCAAGTGTTTGTACAAATATCCCGATTGCCCGATTTTGGACAGGCCATGGCCACTCACCTATGGTCGATATGAAGGTCGAGGTGAAGGCATCATCGGAGAAGCGAAATAATATGCAGGTCTTGCCAACACCCGAATCGCCAATTAGCAACAGTTTAAAAAGCAAATCGTAGGTTTTCTTCGCCATTTCCACACACCAGCGGCTCTTATAGAACAAAGCACACACAAACACAGGCGCAGCTCACAACGCACGCACCTACAAAAAAACACACACACACGCACGCACACCCACAGCACGCAGGTAACAAGCGATTAATGCTCTTGCTCTAAATGCACTTCTATATGCCTAGCTTTATATTATATGGCTATATTCTTGTTTTCTTTGGCTTTTGCTGCTGATTGATTTTATACGAAACGTTAATTTATTTCAGCCTAGGGTTGTATCAAAATATCAATATATCGATAAATTCCCAAAATAAAAAATATATATTTATATCGTGATATTTTTTTTTTGCCAAAATATCAATACATTGATATTTTTCGATATTTTTGCTTTGCTAACTTTCCTGAGAAGAAAGAGACACGTCTACTGGCCTTTAGTCGGACAACTGAGGCACTACTTGAGCCAAAACTATGTGTTCCACCAAGCCAGCAAAATTTATTGATATTTTTTTTTCGTTGATATATTTTATATTATTTTGATATTTTTTCAAATTAGATATGATATTTTTTATATATTCGGCAACCCTACCTTGTTTCCACTGGGTTAATGTGGGTATTTACGGTATATATTGAAACGGTATTTTTTTCGATTGTTTAGAATGTTTTGAAAAAAAATTGATACTATCGTAATAGTATCGGGCCACTAACCATACTCGACTGGACGCGGGTTGAGGCATTGACGAAGCGGTTCATAAAATATTTTTTCGTTTTGTTTTGAAAAGCTGATGTTGCGACGGGCGCGCGGTTCTCTTTTAGGCTAGCCTTTGCCTCTGTTTTCGGCTTCGTCAACAGAAAACAGATCCGGCCCTGAATAGGTCGCTACATCACATCAGCCCTCAAAACAAAACGAAAAACCAATTCAAGCGGCCAACAATTGTAGAGCCCACACACAAGCACAGTATGTGTGAATACATGGCACACACACGTTTACGTGAACTGAAATCTCGAACAAAGTCGGTTTCGGCAGCTAAAAATTATTCTATGCATACAATCATATATTTTGGAGTGTACACGTACACAACACATGCATGCTTGCTGCCAGTCGGCTCGTGTGACGTCATGAGCCCAACGCGGCCATTCCCAAAGCCGAAGATCTGGGAACGTACGCTGCAAACTCAGCCGCGCCCCTTTCGTTGTATGAACTGGCACATCTATATACTGTATGGTTAGTGCCCTAGCGGAGGAGATGTAGAAACTAAATGGTACATGTTTAATCTACATGTTAGATGTAGAATATACATAATATATGTAGATGTAGATAACAGATGTAGCAAAAAAAATGTTTTTTGTAATTCTAAAATTCTAAAAAATCATATGCTCAAAAATGTATGTGCTGACAGAGTACGGGTATAAGTAGAGTCGTGTCCCCAGAAGCGACTCGCACGTTCCTTCCGTTCCTCCTACAAGCGCTACACGAATTCAAAATTTTTTTCCTCCAAGTCGAAGTCTGTTGTTTTGCCTTGGTTATCCAAATGGCTTCCATACTTATCATGCGGCAAAATCAACCCAGACAACTCCCGGCTTAATGGGGCCATTCTCCTTTCTACTCGGTTAAAAGCACTTCTTCCTGAAATAAAAATGGAATTTATAAAAAATTTAGTTTAGACACAGATAAACATGTTACCTGGAGCATTTGTGGTAACAAAAATTGCATCCAAATTGTATGCCTTAAAATGTTGTACTGCATGGGAAATAACCTTCCCATATATGGGATTTTCATCAGGGCCACCATCGGATGTTATTATAACCACAGGCTTGACTCGTCCTTTATCGGTCTTTGCTATTGATTGAAAGGACTCTAGCTTAATAATACTGTCGAAATCTTTGGCATGAGTTTCTGCGGTAGATGACGAGTGCTTCCCACTCCTTATGCTGATAAATGTGGGGCCAGAATAACCGACAGCTTTCGTGTCTCCCATTTTTTCAGGACTTATAATTACCCCAGCATAAACTGATGGGATTAGCTTATGCCTTGGGGCAACCACCCAATCGTGATCTGGCAGCTTGATCTTGTATTCAAGATGCATGAGCAGAGGTGCTTGCTTATTTGCAGCAGTCAAACCGATTGGCACCCTAGCCTTGTCGTCTTGTGACAAAAAAAAAACTTGAGCAGGGCCGATAACAGAGGCTATGCTTTCAAGATATTTTATGGATGCTGTAGCAAAATATCCATTTACATGCTGCTTGTGATAATCTGCCTGGGCTCGACAAAGCTTTACCGGTACCATTCTTACATGGCGTCTTACTTTAATCGAGGAAGAGATTCTGGGCAATAGTTTAATATAGGTTGAGCTTCTGGACAAATTAAACCCTTCTTTATTAAGCTCTTCATGGAGATCAGACAAGGTTTTTACACTTCTGATGAGGTTAGTGCGCCTCCTTTCATCATCCACTTCCAAACATGGCTATCTCCAAATTAGTTTTATGGAGAAACGGTTGATCGTCTTCAATCGGGGGTCTGCCGGCTGTAGATCGTTGGTTCCAGAGACTTCGAGCATCTGTAATTTTTTCAAAAAGGCTGCTCAATTTTTTTTGTTTATTCTGCCTATATTTATGTTGAGCTTCTGCAATTTGTTGCTGGCGCTTGAGGATTCTTGTTTCATTTTCAATTTCTTGCCTAGTTTTGGCAAGCTCCTTTTGGATTTCACTAGACATTGTTGATATCGTTTTAAGGAGTATATATATTCTGTAAATAGTTAAAAAATGTATAGTAATATGTCCACCAGAATGCAAAGCATATGTTTGGAGTCACAATATATCACAAACACTATGCATGGCGAAACAAATTGAATAGATTAAATATATCGTACATACCTTTGAAGCATTCATAAAAAAGGACATAGTTTTGATTTTTTTTTGTAGCACCTGCTTTTCATAGCTTTTTATTAAATCACTTATATATTTGTGAAACTCTTTTTGTTTTTGTTTTGCTGTTTTCCATATTACAGTTGCTTCTTTTTGACAAACTGACGGTCCTTTGTCTGGATAGCGCAGTTTGTAAGATTTGAAAAACGTTTGAAAGAGTGCATTTACTTCAGATTCCATTGTGAAACACCAGAGCACACATGTCACAGCCGAAATTTTAAAATAGATTCCGGTGAATCACATACTTTCACAACGAACAGCTGATTTTCGATATACAAATGGTAGAATATGTATATCGACTTAATTATAGGGCTGCATTTGGTATTTATTGGCGGAATAATCGGCGCGAAATAAATTTTTGAATAAATACTTTCAATAAAAAAACTCTTTAAAATGATAACGTAATCATTGTCCAAGACCCCCCCAATCAAACATAATCATTTCATTGTCGAAGGTGCGGAAAAATGATCCTAGGCTTCTACCCCAAAGCCGCATCTTTTCCGAAGCATCTGTCAGCTGTTCGGCCTACTACCACTAACCATACAGTAGTATGTATGGTTACTGCTACTACTAATATAAACAAACTCGGTGAGCAAGAAGAAGAGAGCAAAAACATTTTTATTGAAATTTAAAGAAATTATCAAAATAATGAGCGATTTATTTTTAAGTATGGAAAACGCCACCTCTGTCCACTTCTTTTTCTTTTCTTTTCCCGTATTGCGCACAGCAATTTTGGTGATAGGTCTCTTGTACACTCCTCGGGCAGTTTTTACGGTGACCACTCGAACTCTCTCGTCTTGACCAGGATGAACTTCGGTGATTCGGCCAAGCAGCCACTTGCTAGGAGGTTGATTCGGCTCCTTCAGTCTCCTGCTGCCATTTGGTGCGCGACTGCAAGGAAGAAAGGTATTCAAGATTCCAACGTTTCCAGACCCCTTGAACCTTGGCTTGCAGTTGTCTCCAACGCTGCAGTCTGTTAATGTTCACGTCCAAGAACGACGGCTCTGGCACCGACATATGAGGTTGACCTGTAAGAAAATGAGCGGGGGTAAGGGGATCTAAGCTGTGATCGCTGGGAGCGCACAATGTTGCGAGAGTTGAGTAGACCTTCAATCTAGGTTAAAACGGTTGAATATTCTTCGAAAGTTAATGCACTGCTACCAATTACTCTGCGAAGGTGAAGCTTAATTGATCGTACGCCAATCTCCCAAATACCTCCAAAATGCGGGGCAGACTGCGGAATGAAGTGCCAGTTGATTTCCTGACTCGTCAGAAAACTTGCAATGTCCTCGTCTTGACTTTGAGATACAGCCATCCGTTGCATTTCCGTTAGTTCCCGTCTGGCTCCGTGGAGTGTTGTGCCATTGTCTGAGTATAAATCGGATACAGGGCCACGTCGAGACCAGAATCGTTTGAAAGCTGCGATAAACGCGGGAGTCGTCAAATCACTGACGAATTCGATATGAATTGCTTTGGTGGACAGACAAACAAAGATAGCAAACCAAGCATTGCCAAACTTCGGTGTCCGACCTACCGATGTCTTGATAGTAACTGGTCCAGCTTAATCCAATCCAGAATGGAGAAAACAGCGGGTGGGCTGAACCCGAAAAGCGGGAAGATCAGCCATGAGTTGTGTGCTCGTACTTTTGCGCTGGAGGAAACAAATCTTGCAGTTGAATGCGATTTTCCGGACTATGTTGCGGGCACCGAGAATTCTCTCTCAAAGTGTGGAACATAAATTCAACTCCAGCGTATAACGATGTGACGTGCTGGTGTCTAGCTAATAAAACAGCGACTGGTGATTCCTTTGGAAGAAGTATGGGATGTTTTCCATCGTAAGTTGCCATTGAATTGTCAATGCGTCCACCTACGCGCATTATTCCTTGGTCGTCAATAAATGGAGTGTAGCGAATCAGTTTGGATTTTTGAGAAAGTGGTCGACCAGTGCTTAGCTGCTTGTACTCCACTTGGAAGAACTCCATCTGAACGTGTTTGATTATCCTAGAGCGTGCATATTGAAGCTCCCATGACGATAAAAACGAAGACAGGCGTTCCTTGCAGCGAAGACGGTGTACAAAGCGAAAGCAGTAGCTTATTGTCCGCAAGAGATGTGACCAGGAGGAAGCCTTGTTAATCATACATTGAAGATCATTTCCTTCATCGGAAATGTGTAGATTAACTTGAGGCTTGACCTTAACTTCCATGTGCGCAGCCTCCTCAGTCGACAGGGCAAACTTTGCCTTAGCAGGTGGCCAAGTGAGCCGTGATTGTGAAAACCGCGGTGGTCCATTCCACCATAGTTGATGGTCTACAAGATCCCTCGGTAAAAGTCCGCGTGATGCACAGTCGC